GCAGGGCAGGCCCTATGAGGAGAGGCTACAGGACCTGAACCTGTTCAGCCTCCACAAGAGAAGGCTGAAGGGGGATCTAGTGGCCATTTACACAAACTAGTCAGAGGGGACCAGTAGGCAGTGGGGGGTGGGGGGGGTCCCTGTTCCCCCGAGCACTACCAGGAGTGACATAAAATAAACAGGTCACAAGCTGGCAGAGGGTAGATTCAGATTAGACATCAGGAGGCGCTACTTCAGTCAGGGCGCCTAGGATCTGGAACCAGCTTCCAAGAGAAGTGGTGTTGGCTCCTACCCTGGGGGTCTTTAAGCAGAGGCTAGATGAACACCACACCAGGGTCGTTTGACCCCAGTACTCTTCGTGCCATGGCAGGGGGTTGGACTTGATGATCTGTTCAGGTCCCTTCCACCCGTGAAAAAGGTTTCTAGTGATTAGAATTAAGAGAATGAGTTCTTTTCATTTTTTTCCGGATATGAAAATAATCTAGTTAAACAGCTAGTTTCTTTTCAGCTCATAACCTCTCTCAAATAGCAGCAGCTGAGTCTGAACTCAACTTGTTGCTCAATACAAGCCTACAACTTCTCCCACAGTGCAGGGCGGTTTAGAGATAAGTCCCATTCTTACAAAAAGAGGGGGGGATCTGAAAGCACTCTCAAGTATGAGGGGTATCTATTATGGTTACTTCAAACTCCTATGGTAAAACACAGCAGTTTTCCTTTTCTTTATCCTACTTATCTGCAGAAAAATATGATACCAAGCATATCCAAACTAATCTTAATGAGAACCAAGGATGATTTTGGTGACATCTTGTTTTTGGACCAAACAAGCTTTCAAGCACAGAATACCCTATTTCATGTCACTGTTTCAAAGCTTATGAAAACATCTCTTCCTTCAACTATATAGTCAGTTCAATAAAAGGTATCACCAAAAGAAAAAGTCCCCTCACTTATCACCTGTTTCCTGGACCATCACGGCTACAGTGACACTCCAGCCTTTCTACAGATTAAGATTTGTCTTTCTACGCATTAATTATACTTTGGAGTGAGTGAACAATAATGTATTCACATGGAAAACTGGGCTATTTGGCTATCATTACAGGAACTATGAAAGTTTTTGTAGTAGATGTGACTTCAGTGGCTGAGGTAGTAGATAAGCCTTCTAAAATGGGTTTCCTCTCAGTTTTGGTATCACCTAAAACTGAGTTGCACAAACTTTAGTATCAAGTAAAATCATAGCAATGCTTCCATGTACTTGAGTTCAGTGTAAAATCATGAAGGCTTTGAATTTGAAGATAGCAACGTGTGCAAATTTTGCAAAAGCAAAACATAGTAACAAATTCATTCCCACTTTCTAAAATTATCAACATTATCTTTATAAAAAAAACAGCCTTGGAAAAAATAAGTTAGTGGTTTATAAATGTTTGTTTTTTATCATAACTAGATGCCAGAATTAAAGATTGTTAAAGAACAGTTTGTTTGGTTTTTTTTTTAAGGCAACTCAAATCTGTACCCTCTAAAATACTTTTAAATCCTTAGAAAAATAATATGTAGATAATAGATTCATTATTTAAAGTTCTTTATAAACTACTATAGGAAAATCCATGATGCCTAGAGTTTATTAAAATATATAATAGCATCTAAATCTCTGGAAATAGTCACTCAAATTTGTCTGGATAAGCACAACAAAAACCAGTTGTGTTAAAATTGTTAAAAATAGTAGAACAAGGAATAGTAACATGATATAGTATATATACCTACACTATACGAACGACATACTGTCCAGAGACTAGTCTTCCAAAGAAGTATGTCCTATTTCTTGGAATTTCATAGATTTCACAAATTTCATAGAAATTAGGGCTGGAAGGGACCTCATAAGATAATTGGGTCCAGGAAGGGGCAGGAAGTCAGCTAAGATCAAGGGATCCCAGCAAGATAAGCTTCCAAATGTTTCTTAAAAGTGTCCAGAGTAGGTGTTTCCTGGGGGAATCTATTCCAGACCTTGGGGGCTCAGACACTAAAGAAGTTTTTCCTTACGTCCAGCCTAAAGGAGAGTTTTGCAAGACTTTGTGACCATTGGACCTTGTCATCCCTTGGGGTGCTCTGGTGAACAGGTGTTCCCACAGATCCTGATGCATGCCCTTTATGTACTTATAGGCTGTCACCAAGTCACCCCTGAGCCTGCACTTCTCCAGGCTGAAGAGTCCCATGGCTCTCAGCCTGTCTTCAAAAAGCATGTTTTCCTGCCCTCTGATCAGGCACATGGGCTCTCCTCTGGACTCTTTCAAGCTTCTCCACATTCTTCCTGAATTGTGGAGCCCAGAATTGGATGCAGTACTCCATATGCGGCCTCGCCAAGGCCGAGTACAGTGGGAGGATGACATCCTGGGTCTTGTTCAAGATGCATCGGTAGATGCAAGCCAGAGTTTTGTTCGCTTTGCCAGCTGTGGTATCACATTTGTGGCTCATGTTCATTTTGTGGTCAGTCATGACCCCCAAGTCTCTTCTGGCTGTAGTGCTAGCAAGTGTAGCATTGCCAGGCCTATAAATGTGATGCAGGTTCCCCCCCAACTCCCTCTCAGAGGTGGAGCACCTTGCATTTCTCCATATTGAATGCCATCAGGTTTTCATCTGCCCAGCTTATTGAAGTCAACCTGGATTAGCAGCCTGTCCTCAAGCATGGATACTCTTCCTCTTTAACTTAAAAATCTACCATAGCAAACTATCTGTGACTAGAAATTAAAGATAAAAATTAAAGTATTTTTCAGTTATTGTTTGCCATTTCAATAGTCTTACTGTTCACTATGTTTTCAGTGTTTTGTATTACTATCCTCGGTTCTATAATAGTGGACTGTTTTTAACAATTTTGTATAATGTTGTGTTAGACTGGAAAAAAGCTTTTTTAAAACTATGCACTTAAAGTTAAAAAAAATTACTACAATTCATCATTACAAATGACTCTCTTGTAGAAAACATGCACTAAAGTAGAAGTTAGTGAACGAACAGTAGAGAAACTCTTAGCAGAAGTAGGCCAGCTGAAACAAGAAATAAAAAGGAAAAAGGAACAGACACAAACTTCAGGTAACATGAAAAGATTTGTAGTTTTGTTAAGAGGTTTTACATTTGTGTGATAAAACTTGTCATCTTAATAGTTAATATCACTTCAAAATAGTTATTTTTGTTGAGAAACCTTTAGGTGAAAATAGCAAAAAAAAAATACAAATCAAGCTTTCAGACTACATTTATTCTACTGGGAAATATTTCCCCACAAGTTATCTACAGCTGTAGTTTGCCACTATATTAAGCTTCAACTTGTAGAAATTAAAACTGTACTTATAAAAAGTCACTAGCAATCTGACTATGCAGTATTCCAATGATACATTTGCTAACCATTGAATTTATGGAAAATACCATAGACACTCAAATTTATCCATCAGCATAGAAGTCGCTGCTTTTTGACACCTACCAAAAGGGAAAAGTTGAATAATTCCTTGTAGTTGCATACCTTTTACTTCCTTTTAACCTCTCATCAAATTCAGTGAACTATACAATAAGATCTAGAAATAGTTTTTTTAAAAGTTACCTAAAATTACAGGAGATAAGCACGAGACATTGCTAGTTTAAAGTAATTAAACCGTTGTTTCTCTGTTTTGTTTTTAAATTATTCAGGTGAGAACAAAAGTGGTTCCAGTGAACCACCAGAGAATATTTTTCTTTGTCAGGCTTTGCAGACATTTTTCCCATATTCTGGACTGCAGACCTGTATTGTTTCTTTACAAGGCAGACCAATACTTGAACACTGCTGTAACACTGACCACAACATTAATATAACAGACAAACTGACTCTCATGCTAGAAGACAGTGACTTCCCCAAAGGAGGAATGAAGCAGTTGACTAAGCGTAAAGCTAGAGCGACCACAGCCAGACCAAGATCATTAAAGAAATCACGGCCATTGAAACTTCATCAAAAGCTATTTCAAGGAGACCAAGAGGACAGTGACCAGGAAAGGAAGATTACACTAAGTGGGACTGAAACAGATGAGGAGGCACTGGAGAAACTGAAGAACACTGATAAATATCCACACTCACCAACTTTCTAACCATTTCACACCAAATGTAGGATATTCCAAATGATGATCTGCTGCACCAAGAGCCACTGCCAATATATTTACAGTGCTTTATCAACCAGGAACATTATGGGACAAAAACTAAATGTAGTTACATTTTGTAACATTTTTAAAATGTAAGATTTTATTTTGTTTACACGTATTCTACTTTTGACATGTGGAGTGGAGTCCAGATTATATCATCTTCCTCAGGGTTTACATTGGGAGGAAAAAAGTAATGCAGCAAAGATTGAAAGTATATACAACACTGAAATTGGGACATAACACACTTGCCTCTTCAGGTGTGATGTCTGCTTGTAACTGGTGCTGAAGAAAACTAGTGCCAGATTGTAAATTATATCTGCCACTATGCAAAGCCTAGAGAACCAAAGCTACTAACTGGATTGCATTATTCACCTGCACTGCTGTTATCTAGTGTCAGTATACTAGAAACCAGCAGTCGAGAGAAAATGCAACAGCTTGTTTTCCTTGCACTTCAAGTGTAAGACTTCTCCTGCTTTATAGGATTAATTTTAGTGTAGGAAACGACACACAGATTTTTGAAAACTTTATGGTAACTTAAGTTCTTATTATTACAGACATGGAGAACTCAGAGTGTTCAGTTTTAGTTTGTTTGCTCAGATAGTAACAGTAATGCAGAACACTTGACATCCCTCCATACAAGAGAGAGATGGGGGCATCAGTTATAAAAACAATGTTAGTGTTTTAAGTCCAACAAGTTTATGGTATTAATGGAGTGCATAAACATGAATTACAAAATAATTTTATTGTTGATTTATGGACAATTTACCTAACTTATTCTGGATACTTGATATTGCAAAGCTTTGGGTCATTCCGAAACGATGGGTTCTTGTATACAACTGGCATAAACCCTGGGGGTGGGGGAAGAAAGAAAAAAAATGAGGTTAGTGTCTCCATAGGGGGGGAAAAAAAACCACCCCGTTATCTCCAAAAATTAAGTTTACAGCTATGCTTACCAAGTGCTTGTGCTCTTTTAATACTTTTTGAAATCTCTTTCTGTTTCTTGTCACATAACCCTGTAAAGGCAAAGAACTGATTTTTAACAGCTTATCTCAGCGGCTCAAGCTAATTTGCTAATCGGTATCTAAAGTCTAACTAGCAGGGACTCCTGCAGGCTTTTATAAAAACTGTGTGTGTCAGTCTACTTGCACAAAATTATTATATGGAGTTTCTCCTCCCAAATCATGAAGTTTCTCCAGTTGCATGTTATTCACTAAGCAGATTAATACGAATTTTTATATTAAGATTTTAGCTTTAAGAACCCTTTGGATAAATGACTATAACAAATACTATTTGTTGCTAAATTGATGCAAGACTACATTACACTTACCACTTACGTGTCTTCCATACATGCGACCAGTATATGGAGACACAAACTGGGACAGAAGCTATTGAAAAAGACAGAAAATATTAGTGAAAATGTTCCTGAAAACCAAACAGATAACTTTAAATATAGAAAGTTTTATTGTAAAAGTTGAATTCTAACACTATCATATCCTTCCTATTTCAAGACGTCATAACTTACCTCAGAAAGTTTCACAAAAATAACCTACTGCTTTTCAACCAGAATTTAAAAACCACATACACTAATTTGATGTTCATATTAAAAGTAAAGTTTATACCAATATAAAACCGTTAAATAGTCAATACATTAATCCAGCACTCAAGTTAGGAAGTGCCAGAATTAAGTCAGTCCTTGCAACCTTAGTAGTTTTCCCTGTGCATAGGCATTTGGCTATTTTTAATTATGTGATCATACTTTTTTTCCCTGTTCCTGCCCTATTCAGTGCAAAGCATGGATTGAAGCTCACTAAATAGTAGCTTAAGTTTTCAGTATTTTTGGTCCTCCTTATTCAGTGTGGTCTCATGTATTTTATTGTATCCCAAATCCAACTCCAAATAGAGAATTGTTTCTTCATATTCCATTGGGCTTTACTAAAATAATTAAAAAAAAAAATTTAAATCTTCAACACCTCTTGCAGCTCAGTGACATTAAGTCCCCTACTTCTGTACACAGAAACTGAAACATGGACTAAAATAAGCGTCTAGTACAGGGGAGGGCAAAATGTGGCCTGCCAGGCCATTCTATCCAGCCCATGGGACCCCTAAGAAAACTAGAAAATTAATGTTTATCTGCCCCTTACTGCCCGTCATGCGGCCCTTGATGGCTTGCCAAAACTCAGCAAGTGGCCCTCCACCCAAAATAGTTCCCCGCCCCTACTCTAGTAATTTTGGACAAAATTTGAGAATTTTTACTTCACTTACAGTTTGTTCAGAACACAGAACAGCAAGTTCTCAGCACTTGAGATACTGAACATCTCAACTTGGAAAAAGTGTCCATCCTTGGCTAGAGATGCACAAGGTTACTTTGGCAGAAAAAGGAAAGAGTTGTAGCCTGCACAGCAGCATTCAACTGCCTTGCTTGTGAAAGCATCACTTCTCTCCCTGCCTCACTTGCACCTTTCAGCTTCTGATACAAATGAGGCAGAGGTATTACAGGCAACAGCATCAGGGGAAAAAAAGATGAGCCTAGGGTTCCATGCAAAACTAGTATGCAATGATTAACTCTTTGCAAAACAAAAAACAGCTGAGTCAAGCTTGTGAGTTCCCTCACAGACACTGTAAGATAAGATGGGGGTATAACCAAGATCATACTATGTCCACTTTCAGCCCTTATTTCCCTGCTCCCTCTCCACTTCAAGGCTTCTATTCCCTCCCTTTGCATCTTTTAGGCTGCTTCCCCTTTCCCCTCTGTACTCTCCAGGTATCAGCAGAAGAAACACAGATTACAGGATAGACTGTAATCAGTTCAACCAAAAAGGCTTATTTGGCAAAGTTTTAAGAATTACAAATATAATTATGGAAAACATCACACAAGCTTAGCTGTGGAATACGACTGTTTCTAAACTCACTATTTTTTACACTTTCAACACATTAACTCTGCAGACAAGTCAGAGGTGCAAAGGGGTTGGCAGTCCAGCTAACAACACACTTAACCATAGGTTTTATAAATACTGAAACCTTTCGTATGTTGTAATTGTCAGCTTGCATTTATATTTTTTTTTCATAAAACACTATGCTCTTTCCATTTCCATCCATTTACTTGTTTTTACTCACTTTATTAGTAACCAGACTAACTTCCTGTAAAAGGCTACCATATTAAGCTCTTCACACGTTCTGAATGTCAGGACTGACCCACAAAACTAGTCAGGGTCAGATTTTCTAGTTAGCATCTACAAGCATTCTAGAATATTTCTTTCTTTAACTGCCCATTCACAGAGAGGGTGATATGGTGCCTGAATTGACCCAGAACTCTTGCCACCATAAAGAGTATTCTAGAAGAGTCTATCTGGATTTATACTTTTAATATCATCCTATAATAATGAATATGCCCGTCAACAATGCAGAGGAAAAACAAAACACATGGTCCATTTCTCTTCCTTGCTTTTAACAGAATCTGCAGCAATTCCTGGAGGTAGTGCAAATGGAATAGACAATATAAGTATCAGCCACCACATACTGTCCAATTTTATACCTTTTATTCCTAGGGTACTCTCTCTAATCTTAAATTCTCCCTCTCTTTCTTCAGCATACCTCCTAAATAGCATGTTCACTCCAAAATAGAGACCACATAATTGCAGCACAAATCCACTGTAAAGAAACTCACCTGTACATTCTTGTAGTTTACATGTATGCCACACAAGACACATTTCTTAGGAGGCTCCTTGTATGGATTTTCCATTTGTATCAGCTAAAACAAGAAATAGTTTACCTTTCTTTCACAGTGAAACATTTCTCTCAATTACATAGCCACATTCTAAAGGTAGCATTCTCTAGCTTTCCACTTCACTTCCCCAGAGCACAAACATATTGTAAAGCTGAAATGAACTTAGCAAAAGCACATGCCATTAGACAGTTTTCCATTGTGAACTCAGACCTTTTCTTTCTTGTCCTAGAATCTGATATGCCACCACGTTACTGAACAATGCATTTAACAAAATACCATCTCTCTTCCTTCCCAAACTATTGGAGGAATAACTTCTAATATAATAAGTTTATTATTGCTATAACAATGGCTAGTAAGGAAATATGTTCCCTGGTCCATCCTGAGCACTGAAGGACATTTTTCTACACTTGCATAACATTGGGTGTCATCTACGTAACAGCTGGGTTCTTACCACACAAGCCATATTCTTGTTCTTTATTGTAGTCATAAAAAGAAAGCACCACATATCTATGTACTAGGCCTGTGCAAAGCAGCAAATATTCGATTCAGATTCAACTGATTCAAAGGGACAGAGATTCGAATAACTGTCCCAATTCAATTAGCCCAATCTGGATCCGAAGATTCGTCCATAGACTAAACAGGCAGCAGTCCTCAAGGATGCTGTGGACACAGCTGCCTCCAGCTGGTAAATCTGTTGTGGGCAGAGGGAAGAGGTGTGGGGGAAGGGGGGCAGATTAACGCCCCCATGGCAAGGAAGGGAGGGATTGGGGTTGGGAACTCAGGGAAAGGGGCTCCTGCCACTGCGTGCCACCAGTCCAGGAAGGCATAGGAGTGGGTGTGCGCCCCCAGATCTGTGCAGTGTGGGGCGGGCTGGGCCAGGCTGTACTCCAGATGGGTGGTGGAAGACACTGGGAGTGGGGGCTCTGCCCTGTTGCCGCTCGTCCAGCTGGGGTGGGATGCGCACAGGATGCGGGCATGGCAGCACTGAGAATGGGGGCTATCCCCGCTGCCGCTTGCCCAGCCAGGGCAATGCAGGTGTGGCTTGATCTGGGCAGAAGGAGCTGGGAGCAGGGGCTATGCCCTCCTACCACTCAACCAGACAAGACAGGGAGATGCAGGATGCTGCCACTGCACTGCCTCAAACAAGCAGCACACAGTGGCGGAAGCTGCTCCAGCCTCCTTGCATCTTCCGGACAAGCTGCAGCTTCAGCTCGCTGTGCCCTGGCTAGCCAAGCAGCAGGAGGGCATGGCAGTGGGCATATGCACCCAGATCAGGGAGGGGCCAGTGGCAGGGGCTATGGCAAATTTTAGGGTGGCTGCAGCCCCCCCATACTCCCACTCCACTGGGCTCTGCAGGGTGGGTAGCCACCAGTAACAGTCCTGGCTCCACCTGCCCTGCAGAGCACTGCCTGGCAGCAGGGCCTAGCCTCCTGGAGCACAGCCCGGCCCAGTTCACCCTGCGCAGATCCAGGGGCACACGCCTGCTCCCATGCCCTACCAGACCAGCAGCGCACAGCAGCAGGAGCCCCCCTCCTCAAGTCCCGGCTGGGCAGCTTGTCCCAGCCCCAATCCCATCTCACTGTGGGGACGTTAATCTGTGCCCCCACCTTCTACCCACCACAACAGACTGACTTACCAGCTGAAGACTTACTGTCCTCAACTGAATGAGCTACCAAAGCTTCACACAGCCCTTCTGTGTACCCTCTCCTACTGAAAAGGGGGAACACCCTCAACTTACTTTTAGAATCCACTATACTATCAAAAGTCTTGTCATTAGAGCCATTTAAAAGGTCCTTAAAGCAATTAATGGGTGTTCTAGGAAGTCCAGGTAAAGTTTTCCTAGCCTTTTTTTTTGGGGGGGGGGGGGGGGGGGGGG